TCTTTCCCTGGTTGGCAGCAGGAGCAGAGAATTTTATTTATAGACACACTTTAAAAACGTCCTCGTCTGGGGGTCCCAGTAACCCACAGCCCACTTCTCTGTGCCCCCAGATCAGGCCATGCTGGGACCCCCCCTCTAGCAGCAGAGCCTGGGAGGTACCAGGGGGCTGAGCTGTGGATCCAGACCCTCCCCCCCGTGCTCCTCACCCTGGGCAGCCCCTCAGCACGTGGGGCCATCCCATGTGGGTGGAAATTCATAGAAATGGGGTGTGTGGGAGCAGGGCTGCTGGCTGGGCAGGTAGAGAACCAGGTGGAGCAAAGAACCTGACACCTGTGAAGATAGAGTTAAAGCCTGGAGCTCATCCAAGAGGAAGGAAACAGTATCCCATAAAATTGGAAGGCCACAAAGGGCTGGAACCATTAACTGACACCTTGTATTAATTGACACCTTTTTAAAATATGGACTGTTATGGGAATGCCAGTCTGAATTTCACACTCCTGTACTACCAGTGTAGAAACCTGGGTCTCAAGGATGTTTTCAGGACCTAAGATAAATCAGTGGGATAACTGTGATGTGCAGCCTGTTGTTCCCAACCCACATCCACTGCCTGCATCTGTGCCCAAGAGAAATGTTGATTTTATTTTGCAGCTTGGGATTTGAAGGACACTTTCTGCTGCATCCCAGTGGAGGAGGCAAAGCAAACCCAACCCTTCCTGAGAGGTGACAGGAGGAAACTCACACGGGTGCAGACTCATTGGTGAACAGAGGTGGAAGATCTGCCACTAGGCCAGAGCTGCAGACTGGAGCAGACACCCTGCTAAAAAGGTGGGAGATCAGTTGTACCAACAACCCTGAGATGCAAAGGGAACCCCCAGCAGGAAACAAAAAAAAGAGGAATCACTCCAGGGGACACTGGCAAATAGATTTTTCTAAGTTAACAAAATGTAATTGCTACAAGTATCTGCTTTTTTGGGCAGACACTTTATCAGGATGGGCAGGGGCTTCTCCTTGCTGCACCAGTCAGGCCAGGGAAGTTACTAAAATCTTGTTGAAAGAGATAATTCCTAGGCTTGGAATTCCCAAGGGCCTGTCTTGTGGTAATGGGCCCCGTGTTGTTGCAGAAGTGGTCCAAGGAGTGTCCAAGGTTCTGCAGTTCAAATGGGACTTGCACACTCCATGGAAACCAGAGTCTAGTGGGAAGGGACAGGAAATGAATCAGCCCATTGAAAGACAAATTGCTGAGTTGTGCCAGGAAACTCACCTGGAGTGGGCAGATGTCCCACCTGTGGCCTCACTGAGATACAATCCCTCCAAGAGCCAGGGAGGAGTGAGATCCTGTGAACCTCATCCAGGGAACAGCACTAGGACAGGAGTGAACAGATGCTCTCCAAGAGGAGGGGAGGTTGACACATTATTTGCTGTCTTTGTCATCCCTCCCCAGGTACCTGAACCAGCTCCCCTGCCTTTGGACTCACCTGTGCATCACTCCTAACCAGGAGACAGTCCACATCTGCAAGGAGGAGCCACTGAAGGAGAAGTGACCATGGACACCAGGGGAAGGTGACTGGGATCAGCTCCTGGATCCATCCCACCCGAGGCAAAGGACAGTGGACATCAACCCCCTGTGGAAGGACTTGAGTTAAATCTGTCTAGAAAGCAGTTTTAATTAATGAGTTATGCTTGGGGTGGAGGAAGGTTTATGGAGAGCTCAGCTGCCCCCAGGGACTGTTCCTGTTATTCTATGTGATAATTGTATTAACCCCAATAGTTCATAACAAAGGAAATCAAAATGAATCCGAGGTCACACTCAGAAGAGCAGGGACTTGTTGAACTTCATGTTAACCTGATGCTAATAACTAATCTGGGAAGAGATGCCATGGACACCCCTCACATGCTTTGGGAAAAGAACATGGACATCAGCTGAGCCACAGGCACCAAACCAGCTGCTGGGTTTGCACTCACTAACCTGAGCACCCAAAGGGAACCTGTGATTGGTGTCCTTGTTCCTTCCAGCAGCTCCTGGACCAACCTCTGGATAAACATCACCTGCTAAAACATTGCAGGTAAAATGTGTAAGAAGGAAAACAAGAGCAAGACTGAAATGATTAAAAGCTTCTGCATATTTAAGTCTTGAAGGGGGGGATTGATATCAGGGATTAATTGAAACAAGTAAAATTGAGGGAAAAAAGCACAAAATCCTAGAAAAGAGAAGAGAAAAGGCCAGACAGGATAAAACCAGGGCCAGGGTAACAGTGCAGCAGTAAGAATGAGGCAGACCAGGTTCCTGCAGGACAGAGGGCAGGGCTGGGGAACATCACAGGTAAAATGTGTAAGAAGGAAAACAAGAGCAAGACTGAAATGATTAAAAGCTTCTGCATATTTAAGTCTTGAAGGGGGGGATTGATATCAGGGATTAATTGAAACAAGTAAAATTGAGGGAAAAAAGCACAAAATCCTAGAAAAGAGAAGTGAAAAGGCCAGACAGGATAAAACCAGGGCCAGGGTAACAGTGCAGCAGTAAGAATGAGGCAAACCAGGTTCCTGCAGGACAGAGGGCAGGGCTGGGGGGCTTGTCTTGGGGACATCCTGGAGCAGCAGCAGTAATTGAAATCAACCTGTTAATGAGCCATTAGCAGACTAGGATTCCCACCCTGAGTCTGGAGGGACCTCCACTAACCAGAAGCCTTGGAGCAGG